AGCTAACTAGCTTCTCAAGGGCAGGACTCATCACTGTTTTCCTAGGTCTTAGTGCAATGTCGGCACATAGTAGATGCTCAGTAAGCTTTTATGGGGGTAAGGGATTGAAGGAGTCTGTAACTCTGCCTGGAAAGGGAACAGAAAGTCTCTCTCTGTTCTAGATCCCTCATGATTCCATTATTTTTCTCCTTCCTCTCTTCCCCTTCACCTCTTCTCTACTATCTGAGAACTAATTGTTCCCTTTGGTTATTTTGATTTGGCATCAGGGGAAGAATGCCTACTTCCTGTCCATGGATTTGATCTTGCCATCTCAGTGTAGACACCACCCTTATCCTGCAGGATGGAGTCAGGTTATGACTCCTGATTTTTTTCATCCACAGTTCGTGCCTGCTTGATACTTCTGGCAGCATTGCCATCCCCTATGTGAAGAAAGCACATGAGCTCAGCCACGGATCTCACCTCACTTCCCTCCCCTTCTGCATAGGTGGGTTCCCATAAAAGCTTTTGGGTTCCTTAGAGAAGTGATCTTTCTAAATCCCATTTCCATGGTCATGCACCACCAGGCATCCGGACATGGTGCACTGTCTGGCTTCCTCTGAGGAGCTGACTGGAACGACTGTCCGACCACAGGATTCTCCTGCCTGCTTCCCCAGCGAGGGACTGTATGTCAGGGTGGGGTGGGGTGGGAATTTGAGACAGCTCCAGTCCCTTTGGCATTGGGGTCTGTCCTTGGGACCCAGTCATACTTGGGTTTGTGGTCTGAGTCTTGGGATCTGAATGCAGCCAACAGGTCTGGGGTTGCCCTCTGCTTTCCACGTGCAAGGACTCATCTCTGGACTTCCAGTATCCTAAGAGGCAGTTAGTTGGATGTAAAAGTCCTCTGCAAACACAACAGTGCTCTTGCTGTCAGCAAAGAATCATTCCTTTGTTATTGTTTACTCTTGCTAATAGATGGCACTAACATATTTCCTATTTGCCCTGTCAGCTGTCACGCTTCTACTGTACGGTCCAGCAGTAGGTGTCACTACTGGCTCCTGCCGTCTTTACCACAGGACCCTAATAACTCACTCTTTTGGCTGAAAAGCAACCCCTTTTTTTTTCCCACAAAGTGAAGCCTTAAACAGTGGTTTCGTCCAGGGGACATACTTGCAGGTCTTATGAAAAAGTCCTTTTCCTGAGTCACAGTTTTGGGGTGTTGGGAAAGACGGGGATCTTTCTTCTTTGGAGCAAGTTCTCTTTACG